CCGGTATTTTTTTAAAACCAGTCTATTCTCAGTCGCTTATTATTTCGTTTGGTGGTTTGACGTAATGTTATCAAAATATGCCCTCTCACGCAGTTACAATGGTTCTTTTTATAACGCCTACCCCATGACTTAAATACAATAATGTTCGTGAGTTGACTAACAAAGAAAGTTATTGATCCAGGAATGGTGGTAGGATTTCGACTCAGTATAGGTAAATGTGCCATGCCGCAAAGGCGACTGTATAACCTTCTTACTTCCTTGTTGCCTTGCAGTAGGCCTATACACGTAGAAGACATTATTCGTATAATGTATGGAGACGATCTTTTAAAGAACAACTAAACATCTCAGGTAAGCTATGTATACTGAATTTAGAACTGTATAAACACTACGTTATAACTTACTGAATATGAATAATAATTTTCATAATCGAAACCTGCGAGGAGACAGCGCTAGTGTACCGACGTGCTAAAAATGCATGTCATCATCCTCTACGCCTGTCAAAAACTCCAGTTTAATGCAAAAGAGGAATAATTAATTATAATTCTATTAAAATCGCAAAGAAGTGACACCCTTTTGACAATCAATTTATTTGACCTGCCTACAAACCATGAGAATATCGGAAAATTAGAAAAGTAGGTCATATGTACAAGCACAGCTAGTAAATCATAGGATGGACAATATTTCACAATACATTGTCAAAGTACAAATCACACGCATTATGGAGGTATAAGTTATTTCTTTTTTCAGTGTGTCGTCCAAAGTAGTCGTGTCTGGGTCATGTACCTCCTCTTCTCTTCATACATGTTGAACATGTACTATATGGTACACATATGGTACACAAATATTGAATAACTGTTGAACTTGATGTTTATGTGGTACATTTTAAGGGCCATCATTTTTATATAGTTAAGAAGAAATGTCCACAGTGATATTATTGATCTAGTAGTTCCAGCAATAAGGGCGCTTGATCTTTGGATATTTATTTCCATAATTTTTTTTCAAAAAGTACAAGAATTATACACTCTTTACATTCTAACTCAATTTGGATGTTGAAGAAACCAAAATTGCTGAATATATGAAAGCATTTCTCTCATCATGAGTAACATTACTAAACAGATCATCTTCCATCTGAACCATTTTAGTTTAAAAACTACGTTTTGCTACCTTTGTCTTTTGAAATGTGTGATTTCTTCTTCCTCTGCAGTGGTACAGCTTCCATGATGCTCAAAATAGTACCCGGAATTTTGATATTTTTGTCAGTGGCAAATTTAGGTAAGTATTCGCATTTGTACTCCAGCTTTCTTTTTCCTCCACATGAGATAAGCACAGGAAAAATTATTCCTACGAACCTCCTTTCACTAAGTTTTATGCTGTATTTTGCACAAGTTAATCGCCCTCATGCTTTCACATGGCATGAAAACCATTGCTTCTTGGGCTGTCTTGAATAAAGAGATGTTTCCTAGGCTCGAATAGAAAATGCCATTTGCTGTCATACCTGAACAAAAAATTCATGAAAGTGACGGGAAGGTTTCCTTTTTTGTAAGTTCATTCTAGAAGATCTTCTTGTGTGGAGAATACACTAAAATAAACATTCAATTCCCAACCTTTCCCCAAACAATCCTCCCTTTTTATCTTTAACCAGTAATTAATCTTATTTATTTTAAAATTTAAAATTTTCTATTGAAGCATACCTGGTTTCCTCCCTTGTGCGTTTGTCTGGTGGAAGTGCTAATAATGAAGGTCGTGTTGAAGTGTTTCATGACACTGAGTGGGGTAGCGTGTGCGACGACAGGTTTGGAAACGACGAGGCAGCTGTCGTTTGCAGAGAATTGGGCTTCCCCGGATTCCGACGACATATTCAGGGCTCTAATAGGGTCTTTGGAAGAGGACTGCAAAGAATTTGGTTGAACAACGTGCGATGCAAGGGAACTGAGGCTTCCATTGTTAATTGCACCCACGATGGTAAAGAATATTTATTTACATATGTTGATTTGAAAGTAGACTCAAGCACGTTCATGTAGAGTGGACACTTTTATATAAAAGTTGAACTCCATCACAAGAACAGTATATGAAAACCTTTGAAATGGAGAAAAAACTCTCCTTTGGTGCTGTAGGTTACACTTAAAGGTACACTCCATGGATATGAAAATCCCCAAAATGCATATTTTTGCCAACCACAGCGTCTTATAAAACTTTACATACACCTTAAATTTTTTCTGGAACGTACCTAATGTTGATATATCCATTGGCGCTGAAAGGAAAACGGTCTCTGTTTTGATGACTGGTCAGTCATTTTACGCTAAAATTAACCTTTATGTATTTTATCTAAGGTCGAATCAAAGTGCAGAGAGTACGAGAAAATGGCATATTTTCCCGGGGAAAATCCTTTTTGGCGGCTAAATCCCATGGAGTGTACTTTAAAATGACAAACAAAGAGTTTTAGAATAATGTTTACAGAAAGTTTGTACAATGCAATTAGGGGATCATACTCACTGTTGAGCCATTTTGAAATATTGTTCATCGTATTTTAACACTGCAGGTTGGGGAAACCATGACTGTGTTCCGGAAGATGAGGCAGTTGGAGTAGAGTGTGAACCGGTAGATGGCACAGTGCGCCTCACGGGGGGTGCTGGTTACCACATGGGCTATGTTGAAGTGCTAAGAAACAGCACCTGGGGAAGAGTTTGTGATACAAGTTTCACGATAACTGAAGCAAGTAAGTTTGCTATACGATATGACCTTGTGAAAATTGAACCGAAAGAGAAAGCTTACAAAGTTCCGCGGTACACCAGGCCTACGCGTGCTCCGTCAGGTGAAGTAAATGGATGGTTAATGTGTTTGGGATTATCATTTAAAATATATCAAAATAAAACGAGTTTTGTAATTGATCTACTGTTGACATTTGTGACCTAAATAAGCTTATGCCATGATTTGAATATTTAAATCGGAACATTTGTAATGTGTACAACAGTTAGAAGTTTCTCTACGGTAGATGATAGGCAGAAAACAAAAGAGAAAAATAGGATTAAGAGACAGAAAAGCGATTTTTTAGAATTACAGTTTTGCGATTGTTAAAACAATTTTAATATGTTGTTTATTTGACTTCAGTGTGCCATTTAAATATTGGGATACTATGATTTTAGTTCATAAATAAACACAAAAATAAGAAAGTTCGTTGATTTTCGTTTGGGCTAAGCGTTTCAAAAAATTTAACGTACAAAAGGCGTTTGGAGTGGACAAATATTTGACAATGGGCTTAAAGTAAACTATTGGAAAAATCCGTTCATATGATGGAGCTTTATCTCAATTTTTAAATTCATACCATACAGGCTAGAAACCTAAAACACACTGACAAATATAGATGAATAAATAAAAAGAAATACGTAAATAAATATAAAATTAGGCAAGTGCAAACTTTTAAACTTTATCAGAGTTCAGAAATACTAGGATAAAAGAAAGGTATCTTATGGTTAAAGGTATCTTAACTTTATTTTATGAGGATAAAACCACTTTTAATTTAAAGGCCTTTAAGCTAATGTTCTAAGATCTTAAAAGAAGAGGATCAAATTTGTTAGGGTTTAGCGTACCATTTGTTCATGCATATGTAGAGAATCCATTTAGTCCATTTCTCATATTAAACAGCAGCCGTATCAAAGATCTGTTCTTCCCTTTTCTTTCAGACATAGTGTGTCGCCAGTTTGGGTTCCCTAATGCTTCCAGTCTTCGTTCATTTTCCACACTTCCTAGCACGCCTCCAGTATTAGATCACGTCAAGTGCACGGGGAACGAAGAAAACATTCTGCGTTGTAGACACGACGGATGGGGTGTAGCTGCTTGTCAACCTACTCAGGTTTGCATCCACACCTCTGCGCATCATCTGAAAGTGGTCTGCATAATCTATACATTTGAAAACTCGAACCAAGAAGTTATAGTTTATAATTTTCGGCTTGTGTATTCAAATACTACAACCAGGTAAACATTTGCCATTAAAAAGACAAATCAGTAACTGGTAAAGCGATTTCACAGTGCCCCTATGCGATGTCTGTTTCAGACCGCCGGTATAGTATGTATAGATCCCACTGGTCCGCCTGAAGGCACCCTGCGCCTGGTGAACGGTGCCAAGAGTAGAGAGGGACGGCTGGAAATCTACTACAATCATCACTGGGGCACGGTGAGTGTGGGGAATGGATTCCTCAGTAACCTCATACTTACAAATAAAACAAGTCAACAAGAGAAGCAATATTTGATTTTATAAAAAAAATGTCTTCTGTGTGTATTTATGTATGTATGTATTTTAGATTTGTAACAAAGGCTGGGACGCTGTTGATGCCTTGGTGGCATGTAGACAGCTGGGATATTCTGGACTGGAGGTACACAATAGGAACTTTGGTGCAGGCGACGATCTAGTCTTGCTCAGTCAGGTGAATTAAAAAATAGTTTAGACTGTTTTCTTGGGGAAAATATATTTATGAAATCATTCCGTACTTTTGTTTAAGAAATGGTTGTTTTTTTTATAGATGATAACTTTAATGAGTAAATGAGTGTTGCACTTTTTCTATTTATAACTCGTTATAGTGACTTACACAAGGATGTGAGGTTTTCAAATGTAATTTTATGTTGTTTGTGCCGGTTGCATTCCATATACTTTAAAACTTTGGAATGTAGAAAAATCTGGTGCTTTCCAACAATAAGAAAACTGATTGTATTCTGACGTTCTGTCAGTTTGCTTCTCATTTAATTTGATATCATGTATCTTTAAAATTTGTGTCTTTTTAGATTCAGTGTAATGGTAACGAGGACAGTCTCTCGCGATGTCCAAGAACGTCAAACTGGGGTACTGTGCCAGCAGAATGCACTCACGACAGAGACGTGGGCATCGTTTGTGAAGGTAATTACATGGCATGACAAACATCTAATGGTACCTACACACGATGGGCAATAGAAGTGTCACCCCTGAATCAGAGTAATCAAAGTAGGTAGATCTTGAGTAGTTATAATGCCTGGTCTACTTATAATGTGAATGAGTATAAAACCACTGTACAATGGAATTGTGTTGTTGGTCTTTTTGTGAAATTTGATGTTAATAAAATGATACCAGGAGCATATCCAAAGTTAGAACTGAACGTTTAAAAAAACTTTTATTCCTTTCTCTTTATCAAACCATTAGTGGTCTGAGTTTTCCTTTGAAACTCATTTTGGCCTTTATTGTATTTAATATTCATTACTCCGTCCTCTTTTACACTAACTTTCAGATGCCTGTGCAAAAATTTATTTTATTCATTTATTCTATTTTATCCTCTTTTTATCTCATTAAGTTCTATTCGCATATCCTTTATTATATATCAATATTTTAATTTGTAAATTTGTAAATTTTATTCTCACTCCATTTTATGTATAACTTCAACCTTTTGGTTGCCATGTCTTGATAAACTTACTAACAAAAAATCATTTCACAGTCATTTATCTCCCCCAACGTATTGGCTCAGTAGGGGTGACACTTCTATTGTTCAGTGTGTGTAATTGTACACTGATATTTAAACTTTGAAAGTGTCTTTAATTTATCATATTTTAATAAGAAAAATGATATTACTCAAAACCAAACCAAACAAAACCTGACGGCTCTCTACTCATTCCAGATAGGCCTAGGCAAGTATGGGAAGAAAGAGACTTTTTATAAAAGTATATATGGTTTATTTTTTCATTAGAGATCAGTATTAAACATACAGATTTTATCTTGATAACATCTTTCTTGTATCAATGTTATTGAATACGAAAATTGTAACTGGTAATTTTAATTTATTCTGTTGAAGCATCTGTCCCAGCACTAAGATTGAACAGCAGCTCTCCTGCCAACAACAGCGGCATTCTGCAGGTGAACTTGAACAAAACCTGGTGGTCAGTTTGTCTGCTAGCTCTAAATGGCGAGTCACGAAGTGTCATTTGCCATGAGCTAGGGTTTTATCGCTATGTGGGAGAGGGTCCCAGCACCAATGCACCGTATGGTACTGATGATATGTACTCTACGTCTGCCAGCTGCACTGGTGAGAAAATGTCATTAATATTTACTGCCTTAATTATTGATACGGCCCAATGTTTTTTCTAATAACTGAATAATGAAATTCGAGAGAAAGAGGAAAAAGATATTTTCATCAATTTCATAATTTATTCAAAACAATGAACAGATTGACTGTGTGAAAGTTGAATATGGTATCTTGTAGCACAGATAACTACTGAGCTGATCAAGTCAAAAGTGTTTTAATAATATCGATTATTTCAAAATATGTTTCAAACAGCGTGTGTTTTCAATTTGAAAGTGCTTTTCATATCATGCCAAGCATAAAACCAAAAGATGACACTTTTCATTATCATATTTAACAATCTTTATTATTTAAGGAAATGAAAGGGCACTCGAGGAATGCAGAAACCACAGATGGTCAGTTGTGACAAAAGCAGCTCCTCCACCTCTTCTTTTTTCCCTGTGCTACTCCTCATCTCCAGTACAATTTGTATGTGGCATGACAGAACCTACCACAGCCAGTTCAGCAACCTCTACAAAAACAACAACAACAACAACAACAACAACAACACACCATTCAACAATATTAACAAATACACCAGGCAAAACATCTACAGCAAGGAAAACTACAGTTAGGACAACATTAGTGAACACACCAGAAGACGTTGGATCAACTCCAAACACGTCTCCAACGACGAAACCTAGCACTATCCCTCCCTCTGGAAATACTGAGTCTACTCACTCTGAGGTAACGCTCTACCCAACAACAACAACAACAGACGACAATGTTATCTTAACTTCTGGTCCTACGGAGGTTCAACCATGGGACACAATGCCAAACAAGTCTTTTCCAGACTGGGGTATTGCCATACTGGTGACAGCTCTAGTTTTGGCTCTTATTTTTGTTGTTGGGTTCCTTTTGAAGAGACGACCTGCAAGCTGTTTTGGTAAATTAAGGTAAGTGTATTTGAGTTTAACTGGTGAGTCGTAAATTGAAGATTATAAATTATCACATTTAAATTGAACTAAGGCATTGTTTTATCAGAAAAATCTA